GCGTATACCGGACTGCGAAACTCCAAAGGGGCTGGGTATCCCCAGTTGGCGGGACCAGGGTGCCAGTTTGGTGCCAGATTTCCTGATGGTTCAGTTGGTGGTGGAGGCGGCGGTGCATTTTTAAGTCTCATCTCATTTTCTATTTTCTTGATGACAAATTGGTCATCACTATCATCATTAACTGAAAAGAAAGAAGAAAAAAAATGAATGCTACAGAAGCAAAAACAAAAAAAAAACCAAAAAAAAAAAAATTTAATAAATTTGCACTGAAAAGAACCACGTTGCGAAAAAAACAAACCCTATTCTCATAGTTTCTTTTACCATAAGTACGACCAAACAGTACTTCCTTGTTGCAAAATGATGTCATAGTGCATTTTAGAGATCATTCCTATTGTCCACTCATTACTAGGCTGGCTGTAAGAATAAAAAAACTGTTTTGTGGATTTGATGCCGAATTACTTCACTCACAATTAAACTGTCACAGAGGATCGACTCTTTTCAGTTCGCCATTGAAAGTGAATCCAAGAACCAAGATGGCGAACTTCTATCTCACTTTATCCATCTAATCTACAAATCATCAAGAGCTACAAACACTAATTTGACTTCAACACTGCCTGTCGACAAGTTAAGAAATTGTAGATTTTTCTCCCTGAAAGGTCTCATTTGAACACATCAGAAACCTCCAAATTTAATTCTTTTACATAAGATATTCACGTTTGTATCATGCGGCCTTGGAGGGAATCAATTCAAATCTTCCGCTTCTATGAGAAGCCATGATGAATGATCGTTGGTGTATACCAAACAAACTAATCTGCCACTGAAAACAAACTTCCTTGTTAGGCAAGAAACTGACGTCTGATTTCATAAATGCATATTACTTGCCTCCTCTCAAACTCTCAAATGAGTTCCTCCTCAACTTTTTAGAGCAAAATCATCTACTGTGAAATATAATGATGAATTCAGTTCAATATATGTACTGGTAAAATTGCATGAATTTCAGATCATAATATTTTTACAAAACTAAATTTTTTTCAGTTTTTCAGTCAATAGGTTATGATAGGACACTACGTACAGTTTTATTATTTTGTATCAAACAAACATTAATCAAAGAATATTACGCTTAAACAACTTACACAACATTGCCGAAATAGTCATCGCCGCTATGCGCTTGATTTTTCTTTCCTCCAGCTTTCTCTTAATTCTTGCCACTTTTAGGGCGTGCTTAGCTCCTTTTGATCCCTAGAGAAAAAACATAAGTGTTTAAGAATTAGAGCTTCAAAGACAAATACATCAAGTGTTCTAAGCCCAGACACAGCATCCAGCGATGAATTCAATGAAGGGAGCTGTATGCATCTAACAATATTCTCTCCCCTTTCTGCGCTTACTGCAGTATACTCAATACTCAGCAGTGGCAATTTTTAGAAGTTGACATTGCTGCATTTCACCCCCTCAAAAATAATACTTAGAAAAATTGATAATGCTTGACGAGGCAGCCAGCTAACACTCATAACTCATTGTTTAAGTACGATTTTACAAAGAAATCTTCAGTCTTATACTACCAACATACAAGAATTACCACTGCTGCTCAATAACCTGATCACATCTTGAACTGTGAAAAGTCATCTCCAATTCAAGGCATTCTTTATTAAACTTAACTACATCATCAAAATTAGAGTCTACATCAAATAAATTTGTCCACCTTCAGCATGAGAAATAAGATTGCCATCTTTATTCTGCCACTTGCTTTCAATGTTTAGCCAATTTCTTTCTTCATGGTGAGAAAACAACAGAAACTAGGATTGAACCATGACGTCGCCACCAAGTCAGACTTCTCCGTCAAAACAATTTCGAAGAGACATGCTATTTAAGATATTGTTGCAGGATTGCTAGAGGTGTCGTCAGCTAAGTTTACGGTTGTTTACTTTCGGTTTGCAGGCAATTTGCAGACGCCAATGACGAATTTGGGCCTCTGAACAAAGCGGCGTTCGTTACTATCCACTTTGAAAACATCCGTCTCATGATTGTATCGCTAAAAAAACTACTTATCAGATATGATTTGCGACTTTTATGTGGTTATGATATCTGTGTGTTTAAAAATTTAAGTGTTACAAGGTTTGAAGGAATTAAAAAACTTATCTACGCTTGTGTTCTTGCTTCCGAGAGAGTCGGATGTTTTCATGTGGATAGTAGTGACGCGAAAACGCCTGCAAACGGAAAGTAAACAACCGTAAACTTAGCTGATGACACCGCTAACACCTCTTTGAACATTTCATTTCACATTTCTTTTCTTCTTTCATCAATGAAAATGTTCCGGCAAGCAAACCCTGGAAATGACTGCTGCAGCCTGATTGTTGAAATTTTTTGTTTGTCGGAGCGACATAGATGACATAGGTTAAAAGGCGGAGCATGATTGGTTGGCTATGTCTTATCACTGCTTTGTCAGGTGGAATGGACGACATACTGTCGGAAACTTAGGAGATGTCGTTAGCTTGTCGTGAGTTCAACCCGACAAAGCAGCGATAAGACATAGCCGACCAATCAGGCTCTGCCTTTTAACCTATGTCATCTATGTCGTCCCAACAAATAAACGATACTTCCTCTCTACCCTATGGGAGCGAGAAAGTAAAAATTTCAACAATCAGGCTGCAGTTCATTGCAAGACACCTTAGCAGGGATGCAGCAGGTCACTGATTGAGGGAAAATTAATGAAGTTGGATATTACATTATATGTTGATATATTAATCATATACTTACTTCGGGTACTAGGCGGTTGAACAGCGGCTTGTGGTGGTCCTTATCACTCATTTTAAATGGTTCTGGATTCTCGTTTGGGTTGATATTTTTCGGTGTACGAACGAAGATCGAAGTTGAAGATACGTATGAACATGAACAAACAATGAACAGAAGCCAGCCGCCGAGCCGCGCAAATTCTTAGAACAACTTTAAGTACCAACACAACTTCTTGCGACGAACAAAAATCACTAACCGAAATACGTAGAAACTCAAGGGGCTCCCCTCCTCCTGATCATTCATCCGGCGTGTTTCTTTGCAAAATCATTACTTACTTCTACAGCAGTTCTGTGAGCTTTCTCATTATCTAGAGCTTTGGATAAAAAAATATCCACATCTTTCAGTGAAAATTCAAAGGTGGTTGCTACCTCGTAACTGACGTAGTTATGACTCTGTAGTCCTCAACCAATGAACACTTAAGTCATTTTAACTAGAGTAGCGCCTTGTGGAATCCACTTCTGATTGGCTCCTGATTTTACGTTTCCTCAGTTGAACCGTGGAACTGAGGCATTGACGTATAATACAATCTAGACCGCGCATTAGGAAATTTCAGCGAGACGATAGG